GGCAACTTTGATACCTTTTGTCAAAAAATTCAAAGTTATAAAACCGAAATTATATAGTTATAATAATAATAATTTATTATTGTTATTATTATAACTATATACAGTGGTGGTCACATAATTAAAGACACCCTTGATGTTGACCACATACAACAAATTAAATGATATTTAGAGACCCAAGATAGGTATCAATTCCATTTTCATCATATATTTTTTAAAATGAGAACAGTATCAAAGTTTAACTAAAAAGAGTTTACATAGTTCCTGTTTCAAATATCATTCAAACTTTTTCGATACATTAGCTGCTGGCCATCTAATTAAAGACAGTGCGTATTTCGTGTTCTAAACTTGAAATAAAAAATAAAAAAGAGCACTGATTTTTTCTAATATTGAGCGAATTTTCGTGATACGCAAAATCTCACTCAGTTTTAGCCGTGCTCTAAGTTTATTGTGAAATTTAAATTGAAATATTATGGGAAAAAGCAAAAGTTGCGATCCTTCCACAAGGAAGATAATTCTGATTTTTTATGAAAAAGGGTGGTCATATAGGAAAATTGCAGAACACTTGCGATGCTCGAAAGATATGGTAATGAACGCTATCCGGGATTTTAAGAAATTTAACACTACGGAAAATGTGCCTAGGAAACCTAGACCGCGAAAAACAACCCAGCGAGAAGACACAAGAATAGAATTGTTGGCTAAAAAAGACCCTTTCAAAGGATCAGAAGTCATTCGCTTGGAAGTATTTGGTGCAGAGGAATCTAGAGGAGTGTCTGCAAGAACGGTGAGAAGGCGATTATGTGAGGCAAACTTGTTTGGAAGAATTTCTCGGAAGGTACCCCTTTTGAAGAAAGAAAACATCAAAACCAGATTGCTGTTTGCCAAAAAATATGCACATTAGACAGAGCGACAGTGGAAAAATGTGTTTTTTTCTGACGAAACTAAAATAAATATGGTTAACTCTGATGGAAAAGTTTACGTGAGGCGTCCTTCAAAAAAAGAAATGGATCCAAAATACACAAAAAAAACTGTTAAACATGGAGGGGGTAATATCAAAGTTTGGGGATGTTTTTCTGGTCACGGTGTGGGACCTATTAAAAAAATAGAAGGTAACATGGATAAATTTCAATATAAAAAATATTTTAGAAAACACCATGTTACCTTATGCCGAGGATCATTTGCCGGTGATATGGACTTTTCAACATGATAATGATCCCAAACACACTTCAGCAGTGGTCAAAGAATTTCTTAGAAGCCAATCAGTAACAGTTTTGGATTGGCCACCGTATAGTCCTGACATTAACCCGATCGAAAACTTGTGGTCCCGTGTGAAGAAAATGGTTGCAAAAAAACGTACAAGTAACGTGCATCAACTATACACGGCATTTAAAGAGGCATGGGAACAGATTTCGATTGAAACTTGCAATAATTTGATTGCTTTTATGCCGAGGCGGTGTCGGGCCGTCATTGCTGCTAAAGGACACGCGACAAAATATTAACAACGTGCTTTTATTTTCTTATTATACATCTGAAACTAATTTTATACTCAAATTCGTTTTAACATTTGTAATATTTTTTTCGCAGTTACATGATTTGTGTGTCTTTAATTAGTTGGCCAAGCTTTTGTATTAGTTTATAACGGTGTAATTAAAGAAACTTAATAAAAATTTAAAATACGACATCTTCGTTCTCTTTATTTCATTTCAAACATTTCACGATACCCGTTAGAATAATTTAAATAATATTGCAAGCTCCTGTTGCATTATAATAAAAAAATATAGGATAAGTAAACTTTGAAAAAATAATATTCTCTAAGTGTCTTTAATTATGTGTCCACCACTGTATAATATTATTTTATGAACGTATTAATAATAAGCTTTTTTAACCGACTTTAAAAAAAGGAGGAGGTACCCAATTCGACTGTATTTCTTTTTTTTTTGTATGTATGTAACGCGATAACTCCTCTGGCATTTGTGTACCGATTCTGATAATTCTTTTTTTTATTGGATAGGATTGGAAAGAGGGTACCTCAGGATTGGTCTTATTTAAATTTGAAGAAAATATTCCACCTGTATGGGTGGCAAATTAGGGGATAAAACCGGTTTCGCGCACTTTCTGGTAACCGATTTCAATAAAACTTGGCAAATATATGTAATTCCACGAACTTTTGAGGTTGGTTTTGATTTTTATAAAAAA